TAGATAGATAGATAGATAGATAGATAGATAGATAGATAGATAGATAGGTATTTAGTCAGTCACCAATTGTGCAAGTTCTCCCACTTAAAAAGATGAGAGAGGCCTGTAATTGACATCATAGGTAGACCTCAACTATGAGAGACAAAATTTGAAAAAAAAAAAATTATTTAAGTCAGGCAAAATGATTTTCTCAATTTTTTTTTTCAAATTTTGTCTCTCCTAGTTGAGGTCTACCTATGATGTCAATTACAGGCCTCTCTCATCTTTTTAAGTGGGAGAACTTGCACAATTGGTGACTGACTAAATACTTATTTTCCCCACTGTATTAATAATATTAAGAGAATAAAGTCAGAATATTACGAGAACAAAAAGTCATGATATTATGAGAAAATAAAGAATCTTACAGGACATGTCCATTTTCCATTCCTAATTTTTTCATTATTTTCCTCTCACCTTGCTGTGGACAGCCATGCATGTCACTGTGTTTATAAAGTAGTCCACAATGACATTAGGTCTCTGTTAGTGTAATATGCTTCCATCCAAATTATGTGACGACTAAATCTGACAATGTAGCCATTAATTGCAATACGGCTTCAGTTTAGTTTATCATATAGTCGTTTGCAMAATTGTTTCAAGGTCCTGCTTCTGATAATTTGATGCTAATGTGCTAAAAGATGGAATATTTCTTTTAACTGATATTAGAGAACAACTTGACAAGTTGTTCAACTTTCCTCATTTTAATGCAGTGGTAAAACTGCTTTTTGGATTAAGGTTCTCGTGATGACTTTTATATTCAGACTTTTTCAGTATATTACAACTTTATTCTCGTAATAAGACTTTATTTTCATATGAATTTATATAATTTTACGACTTTAATGTTGTTATGACCATTCTCGTGATAAAAATTTTAAAAATTCTTGCGTGATCCTAATACTTCGTCGTACAAGTGTAAGAGATCAAGGGAGATTTGAAAAAGGGGAGTGTTCTTGATTTTACAAACAAAAATGATCCCATTACGTAAAAAGTTTTGTGGTTTATTAAAACAGCATTGTAATTTCAAAATGTTGTGTAACGGCTACATTTTATTTTTCCTCAACAAACTGACCAATAACACTTATAAATGAGATGYTGATCCAGGTAGCATGGGGGCAAACGGGGAGACTCTCAGCACATGGATTTTATTTTGTGTTCTGCAATCCCTGTGCAATACAATTTCCAATATCCTGCAGCTAATATGCGAACAGCAGGTCTGGGTAATCCCAAATCAAGGAGAGTGAGGCAGTAACGCTGAGCACCACGCAGCCATCAAGGACGTTTCCGAGCGAGTTGGGCAGCAGTTGCGTGGTGGTTCTGCTGGAAGCATGAGGCCTGAGGGATTAGTGTCCAATCAGAGTGGATTTGATGTTTACTGACAGCACATAGAACTAAGCTAAGAGGGCTGTATTTTATTTGTTTTCAATGATGCTGAGCACCTTGTGTGGCCTCCCCCACCCTGTGCTGTGACTCGAGCAGATCTAAAACCTGTTGACGACAGCACATCATCAGCAGCTTCAGGTAGGTGTCATGGAAGGAGGGGGCAGAGGGGGTTTTATTGGGCGGAATCAAATTTGTTGGCATCACCGCCGTCAACGCCATCACCATATTTGCTATTTGGTTCATGTGACGTCACAGAAGGAAGTGGAATTAAACAGGCTTTATTTAGATGTAATCCCTCATAGCAATCGGCAGAGCGAGTAAAATGTCCTAGTGAGATAAACCATACTGGATTAGTACAAGCCCCTGCCCATTCCAACCTATAACCCAGCCTATCCTCTTTTTTTTTCCCTCTCCTACAATTGAATGTTGATGGCTATCTCAAGCTTGCGTCCTATGATCGGGTCCTACATGGAATAACTCAGCTTCCTCTGCAGTAGTTGTGTGGTTTTGTGATGTGAAGGTTTTTTGTGAGTGTGGTATCTTTTTTTCGTCACACGCAACAAGCCCGAGATTAATTATTGAAGGACTGCCAGCTTAAAGGGGAGTCACTTGATAGTGTGGACTTATTACAAGCCAGTATCAGGTGAAACGGTGCTCCTTTTTTGTTTTGTTTTTTGTCTGCTTGCTTTTCCCTCCTTCCTGTGTTTCATCTTTGATGCTGTATGACAACTTCAACTTTTAAAAACACTTTCCCAAAACTTTTATTTTTAATTATATATTTTTTAGTTAATCATTTTTAACATTTTCTTCAATTTTGCCAATGCTTGTGCCTAACAAGCAGTTAGGTCTTGGGCGTTCCCACAGCTGGGACACCTTGGGAGGGAATGAGGGTCAGTGGGAAAGGCAGTGTGACAGCGTCTATGAGCAGCAAGCAAGAGTAGCGGGCCGACGAAACTCTTTGTCATACGGGGAGGGGGGAGGGTGGTACGAGGCTCCACCGGGATTGCGTCCTCCTGACCTGGATTTGAAACGTGCTCCGTATTCCTACCAAGACTCTCCCTACGGGCAGGTTTATGCTGAGCGGCACGATCCACGGGGGCTGAGGAAGAGCTCTGTACCAGATTTAAACCATTACGAGCGGGCRCCCATGGCTCACCGAGGATCCATTCCACATCAGGATTACTATCCTCACGATCCTGCTATGACTCCTCGGCCACCTGAGGGTCTTTACCGGTCAGATCACCCACCCCTGCCGTCTCATCCGCTCAGCAGGTCAGGTTCACATTTTGGGATGGCGCCGGGGGCTCGTGCTGGATGGGATCAGAGTCAGYCAGGTAGGACAGGACCACAAGCCCCTTCATCACCTCTGCCTCCTCCGCCTCCTCCAACAGTTCATGAGTTGAATCGAGCTTATAGGGAAACTGGTGCTGTAACCGTTGCCAAGATGATGCCAGATGGTCAACAACGCTTACTTTCCAGAGACCCACCTCCTGTTCACTATGGAATGGAGCAAGCTTCTCCTCGATATGCCAGTGAACCTCCACCTCTGACTGGTCAGTCAGTCTTTACGGATGTTGATGGCCACCCCCTGGATTCACAGCAGCAAGTTGCTACCTGTCTTGTAGTCGATCCAGTCAGTCAAGGAGTCATAATGAGGCAAGATACAGCATCACCTTACACCATCCAACAACAGCAGCAATTACAACAGCAAATACAGCAGCAACAATTGCATCAGCAGCAACTTCAACAACAACAAATTCAGCAGCAGCAACTCCAGCAGCAGCAACACTCTCAACAGCAGCAATTACAGCAACAGCAGCTACAGCAACAACACATACAGCAGCAGCAGCAGCAACCAATTCAACAACAGCCTCAACAAGACCAGCTGCAGCAACATCTGCAGCAACAACCACTTCCACCTCCACCTGCCATGCCAGTGTCCAACCCACACCTCGCCATGTCGGCTCCAATTCCAGCTTCACCTGCTCCTGTGCAGCCTGCAGCCGTTCTCCCAGCTGTACCTGTTCCTGTGCAGGCAGTCCCTACTCCTGCACCCCCTCCTCCAACTACCCCGCTTCCTGCTCCATCTTCTGAACCTCCCCTAGCTACTCCACAGACACCATTGCCCATGGACCCCAAGAAGGCAGTTGATACAGAATTCCTTTCTTTGTTGCGTAACGAGGGCTTAACAGAGAGCACCATTTCATCACTCATCCAGCAGGGATTTGACTCCACTGGCATGCTAACTGTCATGGAAGACAACGATGTCCGCACCGTTGCTCCCAACCTCGGCCAAGCTCGTGTGCTGTCTCGCTTGCTCCACAACTTGAAGCGGCCTCTTGAGGCTACTCCAGCCCCCTCCCGACCTCAGACACCAATGCGAGGTCGCTCTAATAGCTTTAGCCATCGTTCAGACATCTACCATCAACAGCATCACCATTCATCCCATCCTTCCCACGTTTTAGCCATCGATCCTCAACTTATGCCCCCACCAACCCCTGGGGCTATGCAAACCATTTCCCCAAGGATGGGCGAGGTARTAAGTAGGAGGCCCAGCAGTGCTCCCTCTCAGAACTACCTGGATGCCTCGATCGGCTACCCAGGTCAACCACCTCGATCCCCCGGGCCATACTCTGGAGCCATTATGCCTGTTCAAACAAGACCTATGTCAGCATACTCTTCTGGAGTAACAATTCCTGGGGTACCTATGCAGGGTATGCAGATAATGCCCCAGCAGATGACTGGATCAATGCCTGCCATACCGGGATCTGTGCCAGGGATGCCACAGCAGATGCCTGTGTCCATGCCAGCTTTGCAGCAGCCACCTCAACAAGTACCAAAAGCATACTCCACCAATTACACTGTACCAATGGAGCTGATGAAGAGGGATAGGAGTATAATCCCAATGTCTCCCATGCATAGCCCCCACCCAAGTCCTCAGCTGATACGTAAGGGTCAAGCATCAGACAATGCTCTTGTCCCAGTTGGGATGCCTGTTCAAGGTCAAGGTGCCCTGGTTGCTAACCAGAAGTTGAGTCGACGCACGGGTCCACCTGTCATCGTGTCTACAATGGCATCTCCAGACACAAGTAAATCGATTTATTTTTCCTGTTTTTGTGGTAATCTGTTGTCTGTTTGAAAACATTTTTGTAGACTTGGTCTTAATTTCCAGATTTTATTTCCAAGTAATTTCATGTGTGCTACAATTTCATTATGTTTTTGTAGTAATTATCATTTAAAGAGGTTTTATTGCTTTCAGGAATCTCAGTGTTGCTCAAGCAGTGAATAATGTTTTCCCCTTTCATGTATTCAAGAGTTATTCAGTACATTGAAAACATCAACCTTGGTATTAGATTGCAGTTGTTTGTTCAAATCTATTTTCATCCATCTACTTGATGGATAAGTTATATGTGAATACATATTGACCCAGTACATATTTGTGTGTTTTGCTTTCAGATCAGGGCACATAAAATTTATTTGGCTGAGCAGGGTTTCTTACAAATTATGGCTGATGTTTGAGTTTGGGAAATCAAACTATAATAACAATAGAAGTCTTTTGTTAGTCTTAAATCATTTTTGGACAGATCTGTCATTTGAATGAATGAATGAATGAATGAATGAATGAATGAATGAATGAATGAATGAATGAATGAATGATCCCATGCAGTTCGGAGCAACCCATTCAAGAGATATAGACCAAACACAAAAGACGGACAGCAATCAGATTTGTTTGCTGTCCTGTGTTGGCGCTCACTCAGTCAATAGGAGATGAATTTCCATTTCTTTTTTATCCACACCTAGTAGGGGAAAAATATTTCTGCATTCTAGGGTGGGGCGGTATTGGCAAAAAAAAAAAAATCACAATTCATTTAGGCATTTATAATGATTAATATGACGATTGATAGATGACAACCGCACTTGCATGTAACCGACGTTGTGGCCTTCGTCTGCCCTTTCTGGCTTCCTCGTACTCCAATGTTGATGTTTCAAGCGATTAAACAAGTTTGTAGAATTAACATTAGTTGCTCTGYACAGTCTTCCACCATTGGGCTCACATGCACACCTGATAGTGACAATTAATTGCACACAATCCAATTTTGCCCTAACCTCCTAAACTGTCCTCCAGATGTTGAAATTAATACAGTTGAAGAATAACTTTTGCTTTCATTACTGCTCTGTTCTACTTTTTTTTTCAGCATTTGCCCTGATTCTTAAAATTTCATCTGACTTTCTTGTCTGCTTATCTCTGTGAGAGCCGGAGTTGTCTGATTTTTTTTTCTTCAGACTTTCTGTGAAGTCCTTTTTAATCTTAGCAATCTCATGCTGGTCTTTTATCGGAATGAGAAACCGGCCCATTAAATGCAACTGAAAGTGGCGTTGATAGGGCACAGTATGGAGGATTTGGGAGGAACAGCTGTCAGCATCCTCTTTGCTACGTTTCAGATTTTTAACAACTGTGCTCAGTTTTATGTTGCAGTCTGTCAGTCGCTGCATTCATGTGTGAACAGCTCGCATTAAGATTCTCCGCACTAGACAAGTCAGATATTATGGGCAGATGTGTTAACTGTGTGGGAACAGTGGGATGTTTGCATCTGTTGAAGCATTTTGCGAGAAGTTGTTGGGATTACTGTATCGCTACCTCCACTCTTTTGCAGATTTTTGTCCTTTTGTGTGTGTGTGTGTGTGTGGGTTGGGGKGGGGKGGGGGGKGGGGTCCAACACTGCAGTATCAAATTACTTTGATAAGTAATATGATGAAATTCAAAACTGAATACTTTTCTTTTTCCTCCTGCACTCTTATAGAAGGTGTCACATATGTCACAGTTTCTGCAGCTGCACTTAATTTCAGTCGGACGTCACAGCGCTCCCGCAGTCAAGTTATTCTGCTGACTTGCAAGGAATAACAAGTATATCTGTTCTTTTTGAGGGAATTTGCTAATAATGGTTTCTTTTTTTATTCAGGATTTTCTTCATGCGTGTTTTAGCTGTTGAAGCTTGATTTAGTTGATGTAAATTAAAACACATTCCGTCATTATTTWTTTTTTTTACACAATGACAAATTAATTTAAATTGTAGGTACGGTAAAAGTTTTTTTTTTTTTTATGCTCAAAACATGTTACTTTGTGTCTTATAAGAGAAATACTTTAAACGTTTTGGACAGTTAAGATGGATATGCCTATTAACACCAGCTCACTAGAGGTAGACTATCACCACTGTTGTCAGACAGATAGAATCGAATTACCTTTCTGATGGCCGCTGTGTGACTGTGTCATTTTCTCCGTGCAGGTTGCAGTGAGAGGGGGTGGATTTTAATCCTTTAGATCCTCAATTTCTACTGCTGCACTAATCCACAGATACTCTGATTTGGCTCTGCCCAGCCTCCATGTTTTAATTCATGGGTTAAAACGGACTAGAAACTTTCACCACAAACACAAACGAAGAACAATTTTTTTTGACTCAAGCAGTTTTATTATCTCGGAGACTTTCGAGCCTAGGAGAGAACGTTTTTTAAAAATAAAATCCCCGTTGCTCGCCTGTCAAAAACAGGCTGCTGGCTCTCATGTAGCCGTGCGTCAGGAACATATTTCCTCAGGTCTGCCTCATTCATCACACGCTTAACACACACACACAGTTAGCAGAGCAGACTTTATTTGCATGTGGCTGACATTTGTTGCTTTGGTAATTTCATCTCTTAATGGACACATCCGCAAAGCTGCTCTGAAAGCATATTCCTAAATTGTATGTTGCTAGGCAACGTGGGTTTTGGTGGTTATCGTAGGCTGATTTGCTCCTAGTTTAAGCATCTGTCTATTGTTTTTAAACACTGCAGATTTAGTCTTTTTTTTTTTTGCACAAGTGTTTTCACTTAAAAGTATTGTAAAAGTTGCATTATTTGGTTTAACATGTGCAACTTCTTATATCTACAGTGCTTTTAAAAAAAATAACTTAAAGGAGGAGCAGCAGTTTCCTGTTTGTCTAAGCACCTCTTGATACTGTGACAGTTTCAGGAATCCATCAGGTACAGCACTGCTCCACATCCACCAGAACATATTCCCCTTTGAATTAATAGTCCATGTGTAAACACAGATGGCCTGCCCCCACCCAGCACAGTGGATGGTGCTCAGTGTAATAGCCTTGAGCAGGAAAAGCTACTCCAACTACGACTCCCCTCCCCCCCCATTTCTAACATATTAACCCTTCGGGACAGCGCTGCATGATCCAGAAAAAAAATGGCATCGTAGTTTTTCTGTTTTCCTGTATCGTGCGTCGTGAAATAATTTTCTTAAGAATGGTTTCTGCAAGGACTGCAGCAGTAAGATTATTGATAATAATAATTATTATGATTCATTGTGACAAAGGTTATTCTGAGACTCAGCAAATATTTAGACCATTTTTCTTTTTTAGCATCTGGCCCAACGATTGAAGCTGCACACTTGTGGATACAGTCATGAGCAGCGAAGCAGCTGCATCATCCAAAAAAAATGTCTCAATCTCGAGTGGTCTAAACTTGTAAGCGTAAAATGCTTCTGCTGCTACTTGGGAATGAATAAACYGACTTATTTCTCTATTTTTTCTGTCTTATGCAAACAGATGATAGTTTTTAGTTAGTYGTTGCTGTGAGCACAAACCGAGCTGCTAACTAAACTGCTGGCACATAAAAGAACATTCTCATCGTTTCGACACTGAAATCTTAATTAGCAAGGTAAAATCAGATTGTAGGGGCTTCTTTG